ATAATGTTTACCATCTCAGTAATGTTTCTTCTGCAATGTAGTTTAATAACCGCAGAGAATTTTCCTCTATGGATTACCTTAGTTCACACATAAATAGTCCCTTATTTTCAACATCAGTTATGTTAAATTTTTATTTACTACAAAAAATTTAGTATCATTGGGTGTACCTTTTTAAAATTTTGAAGGCGAGGTCAAAATCTTTTAGCGCATTTAAAACACTTTGCAGTTACCTTCTGTGTAGAGATTGTATCGATTTGTGTTTCCCTCTCAACAGTATCCAACTGACTGACTTTTTTGACACCATCTTTACATACACAGATGTGTTATTTGTAATGTGTGCTGATTCAGGAAGATAAAGTTGGTATCTCTTGTACTTTCTTTTTAAAGTTATGAAATTATAATAGACACTTCTCCAAAAAAGACATAAATACATGAAAAGATGCTCAACATTGCTCATTTATTAGAGAAATGCAAATCAAACCACAATGAGGTATCATCTTATGCTGATCAGAATGGCCACCATCAAAAAATCTACAAACAATAAATGCTGGAGAGGGTGTGGAGAAAAGGATTCCTTTTACACTGTTGATGAGAATGCGAACTGGTATAGCCAGAATGGAGAACAGTGTGGAGATTCCTTAAAAAACTGGAACTAGAACTGCCATACGACCCAGCAATCCCATTGCTGGGCATACACACTGAGGAAACTAGAATTGAAAGAGACACATGTACCCCAGTGTACATCGCAGCACTGTTTGCAGTAGCCAGGACATGGAAGCAACCTAGATGTCTGTTGGCAGATGAATGGATAATGAAGTTGTGGCACATATACCCAATGGACTGTTACTCAGCTATAAACAGGAATGCATGGGGCTGAGTCAGTTCGAATGAGTGGATGAAACTGGAGCCTCTTATACAGAGTGAAGTAAGTCAGAGAAACACCAATACAGTATATTCATGCATATATATGGAATTTATAGAGACGGTAATGATGATCCTACATGCAAGGCAGCAGAAGAGACACCGATGTGAAGAACAGACTTTTGGACTCTGTGGGAGAAGGCACAATCATCATATGTGGGATGATTTGAGAGAATAGCATTGAAACATGTATATTACCATATGTAAAACAGATGACCAGTGCAAGTTCGATGCATGAAGGAGGGCACTCAAAGCCGGTGCTCTGAGACAACCCAGAGGGATTGGGTTGGGGAGGGAGGTGGGAGGGGGCTTCAGGATGGGGGACACACGACACCTGTGGCTGGTTCATATCGATGTATGGCAAAAATCACAATATTGTAAAGTAATTATCTGCCAGTTAAAATAATTGAAAAAACCGAAAAGCGAAATAATTCAAAAGTGTACAAACAGCAAACGAATGTGGAAGTGCCCTCTGCTTCCTCATCTGTGCCGCCTCGACCTCTGTGCGGTTGGGAGGAGCGGCTTGGTCCCCTCCATTTGCACACTTTCTGCATGCGTGTGCTCACATGGGAATGTGCGTGGCTTCTGCATTTTGTGTTATGCTTAGACTTGACTCAGGATTATAAAAGATGCTGTTCGGCCATTTTTTCTAGCACTTTTATGGTTTTCTTTTTTCATACTTAGCTCATTATCCTTATTTTTGCTACACTGTCCTGCAGAGAACTATAATTTAACAAAGATTGTATCTTATTTTTAACTTGCTTTGTTTTAGTTGCAATGGTTGCATCACAAATACCCCAAAACTTTGCACTGTGGAAAATATTTGTATGCTTGAGGCTGAGCGGGGAGTGGTTTGCCTCTGCTCCTCCAGGGTCTGGGGTTTCAGTGAGGAGAGTCAACAGTGGAGGGGCCGGCCCAGCCAGCCTTCCTTGGGCATGTCTTTCCACCTCTCTGTGGCTTCTCCGAATGGTCTCTCCTTTGTGGCAGCTTCCTAGCCAGACTTACCTTGAAAGAGCTCCCGGGGCGGGGCGGGGGCGGCGGGTGGCGGGAATCTTGAAAGGGGGAGAGAGAGACACAGGGACAGACAAATGGCACAGAAATCACACAGTGTCACTCTGACCGCCTTCTGTCTACCAAGGCACATGTCCCCTCTGGTTCATGGGGAGGAAAACAGACCTGCCTGTTGATGGTCACTTGTCTTTCATTGTCCTGTTGTCAGGGGAGCACTTGGGGTGGGTATAGTCAGTGAGATTTTCTTTAGAAAATAATCTGCCACACCTCTCCTCCATTTTAAGTATACACTCAGTTTTCCAGGAATGTAACAGATCTAAATCTTAAAGCAGGTGTATATCTGTATTTCAGTAAAATCGATGAATTAAAAAACCGCTCATAGTGTGGTTTTTGCTGTTTCTTATTAAAAAGTGCGATTTTTATGAAAATGTAAAATTCACGTTAAGTAGCCTTGCATCAGATATGACAGTTGTTCAAAGTCTTTTGTCTGTTGATAGGTTTTAGAATTTACCTTAAAATCTTAATGTGAGCCAGCATAATTTCTTTCTTAACTCTGTAGACTTTTGCTATTTGTGTTGGGAGATAATAATTACAAGAATATTTACAAAATTATGTTTTCAAAATGAACACTTTAAGGAAAGGTTATATTTTGGTTTAAATAAAAATATAGCAGATTCTTAGTAACCCTTGTGATTAGCCAGATTATGGATTCCTTGCTACTTAGGGAATTAAAAAAAAAAAATCTCCTCATCTGATTGAAAAACACCAAACAAATCCTTTTCTCTGTTCTCACTTATACACCCCTAAAGAAAGGATAGAGGCACATTGCATTTGGCCTTCTGATTTATATCCTAAAAACACTGAAGCATGCAGTACCAGTGAATGCTGATAGTTCTGAATAAACTTGGTTTTTAATTTTAGTTTACAGTCTGTTAAGCCTGAGTCTAATCTCCTTTGGGCCTGTGGCAGATGATCACTTCCATGACTCATGCAGTCAGAATTAATTAGCCGTAGGCTAGGATGGGAAAGGCTGGATGAGCTGCCCTGGAGTGGGCCTGCCTCGGATGGCAGGTGTGTCCTCTGTTGCAGTCCTGGAATGAACACAATGAACAGAACCCAGGGGATAGGTCAGGGAAGCTATAAGCTTTGGGGAAAAACCAGAGATAAAATAGTAATTAGTGAATAGAGAGGGCGGGTAGTTTGCTAAAATGAAGGTCATCCACACATGAATTAATCGATTATTCTCCATAAGTAGTCTCTGAGAAATTGAGAAATTTGTTCTTTAATTTTTGTATAAAGTATTGCTGAATTTGCCAAGGATGTATGACAACTTTGATCACTAAGTTAGAAATGGTTAGAAATCGTTGACTAGTACATTTAATATAGCTATATTAAGGTTAAGTGCAGTCTAATTCCTTATATTTGCCTTTTTGCTCTAATGCCTTTCAAAGTATGTTTACCCCTGTTATATCACTTCAGCTTCACAATCTCTCTTTCCATGTTGTCTTGATCTGCTTGGGCTGCCATTACGATCTACCACAGACTGGGGGCACTGGGGGATTTGTAAAGAACAGGAACTGATTTCTCACAGAGACTAGGTAGTCCGAGTCCAGAGTGGTGATGGCTAGTTCGGTTCCCCTGGTGAGGGCTCATTCCTTCCAGTGTTTGTTTCTCCCCACCCCACCCCTCCCTCCCTTTTACATCTTAACCATCTCAGCTTAGGCACTTAATTTAGAATCTGGTTACCATCCTTATAGAGATTTTAAACTTGGATATAGATATGGGTTAAATAGGGTTTTTCTCTTTTCCGGGAAGTAGCAATAGTGTATTAGTTCTTGTTTAGTTACAGAAATGCTCCTTTTTTTTTAAGAAGTGCTACTTTTATAGTTCTTGCATATTCTGCACATTCTCATTTTATTCTTAGAACATACCTTTCCTTTCATGTCACTTCCTCCAAAGGGAACGAGGTTCTGAGAACTAATAGGACTCATTTTTTGTTTAATTATTGGAAAATCTCTAAATTTATACAAAATAGAGAGTATAATGAATCCCTGTGTTAACTGTTACCTAACTTCAAATGAGCAGTCTTGTTTCATCTCAACTCACCATACTTCCCCTCCCTCTCCACTGTGTATTTTGAAATAAATACTGTAGTTTTACATGTAAATATTTTAGTTAAAATGACTTTTGTGGACACAGAGAAAGCTATTGACAGAGCCAGAATTTGATGTAGGAGTGTGTCATCATCGGGCGTGACCATTCAGCATGTCATGAAATAGTGACACTGACGTTCACAGGCCACACATTGTTTAAAAAGCCCTTAGTTTTAATTTACTTGGACAAGTGGTCTTTTTTTTTTTTTTTGACAAGTGGTCTTAATGTAACAGAATAATAAAGGAGCATTATTCCCTCGTCTTATTACCATACAGTGCCAGTTTTTTCGTTAATTTGTAGTGGCATTTTTGGTGGAGATTGTTTTACCAAGTGCTTGTTTTATTTTTCTCGTGTTTATTCTTTTTCCTTAAGGGAAAAAAAAACAACACCCCACAACAAATTCAGCTGTATTATTTCCCATTAAACTGGGAAGCAAAAAGTTATCAATACCTAGGGATAAAAGCTTAAGTTAATTGACAGCTTGTTTCTGATATTACGAGGATAAAGCTGTCTTCTTCTTTGGAATTATTTACCTGGAGAATAGGTTTGTGTTCCTCAAAAAGTGTTTTGTGTGTTTTTAGTCTTAAACATCTCCTTGATGATAAAGGATTCTTCCTTCTCTCTCTGGATTGAACCTGCATTTCAGGTTTGGATGAGAGCAAGGAAAGTGCTACTGAGAAGTGTTCTTACTAATGAAAAAAGAAGGAATAGGAAAGGTTTAGTTTGTAATTTGTACTCTTTAGAATATTTGCTGTCTGTTATCTTGAAACTGTATATGGTTCATTTGAAGTATTGTTTCTTGCTTTACTGAGCTATTTTGTAAAATGTTGTCTTCCTGTTTTTTCCCTCAGGGAATACTGTTCAAATAAACAGTACTTGAAATTAATGTCAGCATGGCATCTCTGCTTTAACAGGCATCAAGCACGATGGAACCATGTGTGATACCTGCCGCCAGCAGCCGATCATTGGCATTCGGTGGAAGTGTGCGGAGTGTACAAATTATGACTTGTGCACCGTTTGTTATCATGGAGATAAACATCATTTAAGGCATCGCTTTTATAGAATTACTACACCAGGGAGTGAGCGGTATGGGAATCAATTTTTTTTTTTTCCAATTGCAATTCTTTGTATCTGTTGCATTTTTTGTACCATTCAGCCTTAAACATAGGATTAGGAAATAGCTTCTGACAGCTGGTTTAGTGGGAAGTAGCAGATGCCAGGCTAGATGAGGGCCAGGGCCACCACTTCATGAGAAGAGAGCTAGTGCAGACTAGCTATGTGTGTTTTCCAGGATAATCACATCACGAGAAGAGAGCTAGTGCAGGAGCTATGTGTGTTTTCCAGGATAATCAGGGCTGTTTGTTCTCTCGTATGGAGACGTGGCCCTGCTCAGTGTTTGGCTGTGCGAGGGTGGCCCAGGGAAGGCTGATGGTTTTCTCCGTATGCATTCTGTCCTGTGAACACTAGGGCACAGTTATGGAATCAAGAGACATTTATCAGACTATAGAGCATTAAGACTGTACTTGGGTAAATCTGAAGATAAATAGGGCATATTATCCTTAAGCAGTTTACAGGTTAAGGGATTATTTGATCAGCAGTGATTATCATGTGATGTTTCAGACTGTATATAGAGATACGTAAAAAGTGTCTTAGGACCAAAGAGAGGAGTGTTGAGTGTGAGTCAGTGCAGAGTTTTCGCTGACGGAGTATTCTCAGGGAGGTGTGACTAATGTAGAGAAGCAAGAGTCAAGTCAGTGAAGGGAGGCAACAGGAGTGATAGGAAGATGGATTTTTGGGTCAGACTGTCCTGTTTCAGATCCTGGCCCTGCCATTTGTTGAGTCATTTCCTACAAATTATTTAGTTTTGTCTTTTGCTTACAGTTTTTAAAGTTGGAGTGTAGTAAAGACATTCTGAAAATGAATAGAATAATGAGATAAAATAGAATTTAAAAATTCCAATTCTTTTTGATTTTTTAGGAATGAGAAGGCTGTAGGAAAATAAGGAATGGAAGGCCTTGGAGAACCATGCTTGTCTAGGTAGCTGCATGTAGCATCTTTTTCAAGGTCCGTAGTCTTTTGTAGGTATACACTGCTTTAGAGACAGTTTGGTGTAGGTCAGATCCAGTCCACAGGTGTATTTTGCTTGACTTGCTCTCAATTTTTGAACAGTTGCTTACCTTGTAAAACTTGTGAAAGGTGAATTTCTGTGAAAGGTGATTTCACAGAAAGATCAAGTTTATGAATTCTAACTCCCCCCCCGCCCAACCCCCGCGCCCTGACCCAGGCTGTCAACACAGGGCCTGCATTTGTTCCTGGCAGCGGTTGGCTGAAGCCCAGGAGCATCTGCCCCTTTGGACAACCAGTCCTCTGGAGTTCACCAAAGTCCCTACCACTCCTTATTGTCTTCCTCTGCCCAAGGTCAAGTGCCTTTTGCCATTTGTCATTGCTGTGGCGCTGTCTCTCTCAGGCCCTCGTTTGTAGTGTGTGCCTGGCAGTTGTAGGGTTTTGTATATGCCATCTCTAAAGTAGTGAAGAGTTGTAGTGATGCCCTGCAGTGGTTAGACTGGATTCATGTGTTGATTCCATTCCTGTTTAACTTTTGTGACCTTGGGCAATTTATTGATGCTTACCTCTTTGGGACTTAGTTTCCTCATTTGTAAAATGAGCAACGTAATAGATACTACCTTTATCTTAAGGTGGGTAACAGAGTTTGTATCTCTTAAATATTTTTATGTATAGGAAAAGCTAAGTGAATATAAAGTGTTGTTATTATTCCAACTACTAATGTCTTCATCAGCATAACCTAGGGAATGAGGAAAGTGTTCCTGTTACTTGCTGTTATGGTGTTAACCAGAGCAAAGAAAAATTATATTTTTCAAAATATATAATTTTCAAAATTATATTATATTTTCAAAATAACCTTTTATATAGTCTTTATTTTAAAAAATAAATTGCAGCCCATTACCAATTTTATTTTTATATAAATTTGAAAATAGATAATCTTCTTTCAGGGTTCTGTTAGAGTCTCGTAGAAAATCGAAGAAGATCACGGCCCGAGGGATCTTTGCAGGTGCCAGAGTGGTACGAGGAGTGGACTGGCAGTGGGAAGATCAGGATGGAGGAAATGGACGCAGGGGAAAGGTAAAGGTTGTTTATGATCCAGCATGTTGTTCTCAAATGCTGTATATTCAGGTGATGTTAAAACTACTGTAATTGAATTTCGTGGCCCATTTTCTTTAAGGCCAATAACAGTTTCTTAAACTTTCATTTTTTTTTTCCCCTGGGAAGAAAAATGATTGTTTCCTTTCTGCTGTACACGTTAGTGTTCAGTGAGAAGATTGGTGGGTGGGTTTTTCTTTTCCATCTTTAGGCTTCGAGTTGCCATTTTGCTGCTCAGAATGCCTTTCTGAATATCCTCTTTGGGCCAGTCCTCCTTAAGCAGTATCTCATGCTCTTGGCTTTCTTGTTATTAACATTTCATCTGAATTTACTTGCTTTATGTTCCATTCCCTCAAACATGCGTTTCTAAGGGATCATAGGCAGAGTGGTCTGGGGGTCAGTTACAACAGTTATTCTGAAGGGAATTTTGTAGTCTCTTTAATGGGGTGGGATAACCAGAGATATCAGGGTAAGTGAGTTGTTGGTTTTGCTTATCTTGGATCTCATGTTGCTTCTGCTGGTGATGCAGTCGTTGATTCAGTCAACAAATCCTGAACGTTTGTTCTGGGTATTTTGCTCAGTGTACTGAGTGTATATTCAAATCCTGAGTGTGTGTTCTGGGGATGTTTTGCTCGGTGTACTGAGTGTATATTCAGGTCCTGAATGTGTGTTCTGGGTGCTTTGCTTGGTGTACTGAAATTAACAGCATTTCCCTTTGAGACTTTAGCATCAGTCCCTGTTCCACTGTTACCTTCTGTAAAATATTGTTCTTAGCATTAAGGAATGATGACTTTAAAGTCTGTGTCTTCTGAGGAACTTCTCCTAGGAACTTGAAGGCCTCTTGTACTACTTCATACTATATAGATTCTTTTGAATTTAAGATTTTTAAACATTTGTCAAAGAAGATGTTTTCCAAATTCAGAGTATTGCTGTATTGATTTCATTTTTAAATGATAAGGTCTGATGTTTAACGTTTGAAAGTCAGACAAATATTTTAGTTTTTATCTTTTAAGTACTTTTTTATTAAGGAAGCAATGCTTTTTAAGAAAAACTTTAGTAAATATTTACTGACCACTTAGGTGCAGGATTCTGTTCCAGGCGTGAGGGTTGTAGGAATAAACAGAAAAGGCGAAGCTCCTATTCTTCGGAGACCTGTGTTCTCATTAGAGGAGATGGAGAACCAGAAATCCAAATCTAAGTTCTGTGACCAGCAGCATTAGTGTCACCTGACAGCTTGTTAGAAGCATGCTAGGTAATAGCTCACCTTCCTCCTAGACTTTCTAATTTAGAATCTTCATGTTAATAAGATACTTAAGTCATTCAGGTGCACATTACATTTTGAGAAGCACGTTTCTTTCTTTTTTATTATTTAAACTTTTTGTTTTGTATTGGAGTATATATAGCCAGTTAACAATGTTGTGAAAGTTTCAGGTGGATGGCAGAGAGACTCAGTTACATGTATACATGTATCCATTCTCCCCCAGATTCCCTTCCCATCCAAGCTGCCACTTAACATTGAGCAGAGTTCCCTGTGCTGTGCTATACAGCAGGTCCTTGTTGGTTATCTGAAATACAGCAGAGTGTACATGTCCATCCCAAACTCCCTAACTATCCCTCATCTCCCTTCCCCACTCCCACCCTGGGCAACCATAAGGAGAAGCATGTTTCCAGAAGCAAAACTAGACCGCAGACCAGTGTGAGTTTGGGGAAGGCACTGTCTCTGGCTGAATGGAGTGCTGTGGGGGCATGCTTGGCAAGCTCAGCGGCAGAGCAGGGGCAGCCTTGTCCCAGTACAGAGGGTCTTGGTGAGTGGAACTCAGCCTGGATGTCACCCTCTGCTTTCCTCTTTGGCAAGGCCCTTTGTGCAGTAAACAGCTTCTGCAATCATTTACAGCAATCCTGTGTCACACGGGGTGTGTAAAACATACGTTGAAGCTTGGAGAATAGTAGTGAAATTTTAAAAAGTAAATTTTATTCCTACTCTACAGCTTAGAAAAGAGTGTTATGAATATCTTTAAAAGCCTTCTGTTTACTCTTTCCCACCTGCAAGCCCTGCAAGGTAACTCATTCTTCCTGTCATTATTCCCTTGTTTGTCTTTATTATTGTATGACTTAGTGCTCTGTATTACAACATTTAGGATTTAATTTTTTGAGAAACCAAGTAGCAAGCATAAATCTAGCCTTTGTAAAGACAGAGCAGAATTGTGCTTTTAGACGAACGCTTCTAGGGAGAAGATAAACTGAATTCAGTCTCTGGATAACGGCATCCCTGGGAGCTCGTGAGAGTCTTTCTGGGGTAGTCAGTGGCCATGGTCACTAGTGGGTCCTGGAAACGCGGGGCTCAGCGTGGGCAGGACAGCAGGGAGGGCAGAAGTATGGACCACGTGCTGTACGCTGGGCAGGAATGGAGTCAGAGCGCGTGTGCTGTTTGCTTCCAAGCTTACCGTGCTGCTCCTCAAAGTTTTAGGAATAAGGCAAAGCAGAGTATCCTATGGAGTGGGCTGGTTTAGGTGGCAGGGAATGGGGGGGTGCAGGGGGGAGTGGGAACCTCCTCATTACATAGTCCAGTAAGCTAAGTTCAGTTGAGCATTTGGGTCTGGCTTACTTGGGCAGTGTGTCCTTAGGTCGATAAAGCGATATGATGGCAGTGGACATCTTGGTATTGAAAGCCTGCAGCATGTCTGGCCTGTGAGTCACGTGGCTGCAGTCGGATTGCCCTTGACACCTGGTACCCAGCAGGCATCTTGGCAGCCCCCTCTGATGGATGCCTTTGTCTTTTCCTGGCTGGATCTTGTGTTTTCTGTATCCTATTACATCATCTTCATTAGTTACTCTTCCTTTTGATGGAGTACACCTCCTAGTAATGTTTTTTGAAAGAGTGCATGAGAAGTAAGTTTTTTAATACTTTTATTCTAAAAAGTGTTTTAACTTTATATTCTTCCTCACAATTATGTGGTCAGAGGGTTAAAAAAAACTTTTTTTCATCACCTTTTCAAAAGCAGTTGCTGCTAAAGCCTGAAGCCACATAAATGGTACTTCCTGGGATTTGTATTACATTGACACTTCTTAGGGGGAATGCAGAGTAGCAATTTTGTAGCTTTGAGTCATCACTATTACATTTTTGGTTTGTTATGATTTAATACTTGTTAATTTTAGGAACAAAAAGAAAAATAAATGAAACCATCTTGCACATATGACTCTGAGTGAGGGAACTTAATGTAATAGGAAGTCTTCAAGGTAACATTATTTAAGTACATGTTTGAAATGAAATATAATTTTTGTCTGACTCTGACTATGTGTGTGAATGAATAAAGTTTTTAATTTCCCCTTTTCCTTCATGGCTGTCTTCTCTCTCCCAGTCCTCTGGTGTAACCCACACGAACCTGGTGTAACCCACATGAAGGTGGTAGTGTATTCTTATCTTTTTTACCTTGAGGTTCAAGATTCCCCATTCTCATTACTATGTGTTCTCAACTGTATGGTTTGAGCCATTTTAAGGGATAGATTCCAAATTAGGCTGATATTGTATTAACACTGACACCGGCTATGGCCTCTCACATGCCTGCATGTACTGTGGTTTTTTGCATGATGACAGCAGTGTTAACACAAAAATAAGCAGATCAAGTGCAGGCTTTGACAGACATGATGAAAGGATATCATAGAAATGTGTAATATGGTCTTAACTACCTATGTTAGTATTTCAAGACTGTTTTCATTTTACAAATGCTTTAAATATATGTTAATTGCCTCATACACATACACTAGATATATTTCCTTCTTTTTATTTTATTTATTTTTAGTTCTACCACTTTATTACTACCAACCCATCTCCACTTCAGCCCGCCAGGCTCCTCTGTCCATGGAATTTTCCAGGCAAGAATACTTGAGTGGGTTGCCATTTCCTTCTCCTATTTCCTTCTTTTTAAAAAACTTTATTGTGGAAAATTTCAAACATACACCAGAAAGCATAATATAACAAATCCCCGTGCACCCAACATCCAACTTCAGAATTTATCAGTGTTTTAAAAACTGCCATTTATTTGTTGAAGAAACCAAGTTCTTTGTATTTTTCTGATTGATTCTTTATGGTATTCTTTAACGTGTTCTTCTAACTGTTGTATTTCTTATAAACTTACTGTTAGATGTAGAGAAATGAGTAGATTCGGGTTCAAGTTTATTTTGGCAAGAGTACCTCGTTAATGGTGTGTGTACTTAGATTGCACATAAAGGAGGCATGTAAAGTCTTGATTATTCTACTATTAGTGGTGTTAAGATTGATCAGTGCAGATATTGTCGGTTTGATCTTTACAGAATTTCTCAGCATCCTTCTACCTAATGTTTTAGTAGCCATTCCACACATATTTATTAATCAGAATCGAAAGTAAGAAATTAATGTAGTTATTTTCTTATGCTTTCCACTTTATTTCCTACTCAACAAACTGAATCACATTAACAAATGAAGTGATTTCATTTAGTGATTCACAGTTTGAGTAATGAACTTGCTTATATTCCAAGTAATTTGAAATTTAGGATGAATTCGATTTAAACAAAATTTGTAGTCTTTGTTTTTTAGTTGATCAAATGCTTTTTTGTCCCTCTCGTAAAAACACAGACTTATTTAATCTAGTACTGCATTTTTAAAAATAAATGAAATAGAATCTGACTGTATTATAATCAAAAGTGATTTTCCTTCCTACAAATTGCATGTTTCACTTTAGAATGTTAGAAACTCTTGCTTTTGAAGATTATACAGTGGTTAGTTGTGAAAATCATAAAACACAGCATGGCAGCGATGGACTCCGAAGTCGGGATGGTAGTTACTTCTATTAGGAGGCAGGAGGGTGGGGTTGATGAGAGGCATGCAGGGGACTTTAAAAGTACTGGTAATTTTCTTTTTCTTAGTCTAATGTTCATTTCATTTTTAATTATTTTTTAAAGTTTGTGTTATATTTTTATAACATATAATTTATTTTAAAATTAGAATAAACTCATTTACTAATGCTTTGAAATATTATTCAAGTGTTTAATTAAATCCTAAGCATAAAAACTTTTTATCTCACAAAAGCACTGTAAAATACATGGCTTGCAAAATTGTTTCCTTAGTACAGGATGAAAATGAAGCAGTCATTATGTAAAATATGTAGCTTGCAAAACTGTCTTTAGCACAGGGTGGAAATGAAGCGGTCATTATGTATCCTATTTGAAATAGTAGTCGGTTTTTAAGGGCATACCTTAAAAATTATGTTTAGTATCAGCCTGGCACTCTGAGAAACTATGGAAGGTGGTTGTTAAGTGTCAAGATGGAGAAGAGTCGTGAGTTGCACATGTACAGCCTCCCCGTCTGGGCTGTGGACTGGTTCACTCGAAAATCCCCAAGTTCAGTGCTCACTTGTGGGTCATTTTTGTGTAGTTGATTCTTGGTCCTAAATCAATAGCAACTCTAGTTTTTTTGTTTTTTATTTTTTAAGTATTGACTACTTTAACGAATCCGTCTGGTGGCATGTGGGGCCTGGAGGTAGTGTCTGGGTTTCCACTGTAGTCGTGGCATTTTAGCTTGGATGGCCTGCTTTTCAGGGCAGCTGAGGGGCACTGCTGGAGGAACCAGATCTCTCAGGCCTTCTTTAAATATGGCCTTTGAGCCTGTGCTCATCCCCGTTCAGCTGACCAGAGAGCTGAGTTATCTTGAATTGTTCTGGGTATTTGGTCAAAGATTTTAAATTTTGTATCAAAAAATAGGTTTAAAAGAATACACTACTGTTAGAAGGAACCCTTTAAGAGTAAAGATTTTAAATTTTGAATTATGTATTTGCTGATAATCCATCATTACTATAATCACTAAGCCTCTCAATTTAAAATTTCTGCAGTAGTTTTAAGGACTTCCCTGGTGGTCCAGAAGTTAGGACTCCATGCTCTCTCTCACTGCTGTGGCCCCAGGTTCAATTCCTGGTCCAGTAAACTGAGATACTACAAGCCATGCAATGTGGCCAAAAACAAATAAATAGAATTTCTACAGTGCTTTTAGAAATAACCTTATAATATTCTGGAAAAGTATCTCTAATTCAATTATATGTTAGAAGTGACATATATTTGGCAGGTAAGTGTTTTTCATGATCCTTTTACACAGGATTGTAACTGAAGTAATTTTAAAGATTTAAATATAATTAAAAGAATCAGCCTCTCCTCTCTTCTTAAAGATTTTTTTTCCCCTCAAAAATTTCCCTTAGGTAACAGAGATCCAAGACTGGAGTGCATCAAGCCCGCATAGCGCAGCCTACGTTCTCTGGGATAATGGTGCTAAGAACCTGTACAGAGTTGGCTTTGAGGGCATGGTAAGTGTAAGAACCATAGAAGATGAAAATATTGGGTGGGTGAAATAAAGGAAATTAAAAATAGCCCTTATTGTAATCTTTCATTTTTTCTTGTGTCATTTCCTTTTGTCATAATATAGTCATCTGAATCATGAGTAGGCAGTAGGAAGGAACATCTGTAAAGTGAGAATTGAATATAATAGGTATTAACATTATTTTTAAGGTGTTTTTTCCCTGTATTTTTAAAGTGTACTGTTGATAATTGAAAATGACTGACCTAGAAACATTGTGAATTACTCAAGTGCTTAAGGAGTAGTATTTATATATAGGTTGATTCCCATTCTTTTCTGATGGCTGGGTAGCACTCCTTGTATGGTTATGCCATTGTTTATGAAATTTCTGTTGATGGGTGTCTGGGTTGGCTTTTTGTTTTTCATTGTTGCAAGCACTGTTTCAGTGACATACATCCTTGTGCATATGTCTTTGTACATTTATGAGTATATTTTCTTAAGATAAATTCCTAGAAGTGGAATTGCTAGGTTAAAGTATCACATTAAAACAGTTTGACCCATGACTCTTTGGCTACGATTGAACTAAATGTGAACTCCAGTGGCAAAGGAGGCTGTAACAGAGAGTTGGATTGTGTGTATGTGTGTAAAGGAGCTCATTTTCTTAATATACTAAGTGTATATTGGTCACTTTATACATCTATATATGTGTATATATATATATGGTACTGTTAGGCATCTTCAGGTAATCTAGTTCTGAATTTTCATAGTCACCCTCAAAGTTTCTCATCTAACTTCACATTTTCTGTACTTTTCATTATACTACAACTGCTTCCCCATTCAAATAGATACTTAAATAATTTCTTATTAAAGCTAAGTGGGAAGGAACTTCAGTTAACTAAATTATGGTAAAATAGGGACTAAAAGTGATATAAATAGGAAATTATATGGACACAGAATCAAAAGACTGGATTTGGTACTTACTTTTTCTCCCTTCTGACTAGTTTTGGATAATTTCCTTTATAAATGAATCAATGCCTACCTTGTATATCTGATAAAATTGGTTAGGAAGATCAAATGAGTTGACCTCTTTTTTGGTAAAAGTATCTTTTAAATGGAATGTATTACATACTTTTTAAATACAAGATTTTTGTTGTAGTTCTTTTTTTCCAACAGGTGTTTTTGAAAATATTTCAGTGGTAAAGATCCAGACATTTTAATTTTGAACTATAAAAGAAAGCTCAAAGTATGACATATCTGAAGATCAAGTTTATAGTTTTTGATGGGTGTTTTTGAAAGCAGTGTTTAGTGTGGTTATTAACCCAGAGCTACTTCTGTTGAGGATAATGTTCTGAGTGAACATTTTTGCCTATTTTAGATATTGAGCTGTACTTGGAGCTTTTAAGGGTGATTCTTTTGGTTTCTTTTTTTGTAGTCTGATCTGAAGTGTGTCCAGGATGCCAAAGGAGGTTCTTTCTACAGAGATCATTGTCCTGTGCTAGGTGAGTTAGCAGACAAGAAAATTTCTGAATAATGGGTCAGAATTCATGGAATCAGAAAAGCATTTCAACTGGGCTTTATGAAAATTAGTTACCATTAAAGATTTTTAAAGGCATGCTCTTGGTTGTGTTTGGTTTTAAAAGCATTTGTTCTTTTTTAATGATTCATTTAGTCTCTGAAAGAGTTGTCATGTCTTGCTAAATTGATACATCGTTTATAGGGCATACCAATACTGTGTGAAACTTTTTTGTTTTAATCATGAACTTGTTGAAAAATTTTGTGTTGTATTACCAATGTTACATCTCTTATACTGCTGAGAATGAGACCGAACAATTTAATATTTATAAATTCCTTAGAATTTAATTCCTTTGAAAATATAACAGCAGCTCCAAGATTAAGATAATATGATAAATATAAATTAACATATGATTAAAATAAATAACAAGAAAACCAAAACTACTTTCGTTTTATAGATTCTTCATTGTTGCTGCAATGGACATTTGCCACATTCTTCCAATTAAGCCTTTAGGCTCTTCTGATTTAGCTGTTCTCGTGTGAACTCTGTGTTCCTCTTTTCAAATCATTTGTTTTCCCTTACTGCCCCAAAGTGCTGTGTTCTTGCAGCATAGTTTAACTTTTTAGAAAAAAGGAGAATATGGAAGAAAATCTTATGGTTTTGATGAGAGATGAGGTCATCTCTCTTGCATTCAGAAACATTCTTCTTTTGTATTTGGACTTTACAAGAAAAGTGTGGAATCAATGTAGACATTTAGGATCCCTCAGCGTAGTGTTTGATGATCATGCATCCTTTGTCCCAGAAATAGCTTTGAAAATAATCTTGGAAATGGGCTTTTAAAATATTTAAAAATGCTATTGAGGCAAAAATCACAAAAACCATTTGGTAAATAATAATAGTAAGCACTTCAGAGATAACAAAATTCCAGGAGTCTCTTTCATATTCTTTAGTTAGCTATCCTGACTCTTCAACAAGTCGTCCAGGCAGAAAGGTGAGTTACCAATGCCCAGAGCTTTGTGTTCCGATAGTCAGTGTCTAGTCGTCTATAGATTCTGCTCCTCTTCAGTCATTGTTATAAATCATTACTTTATTTCTGCTTTTGAGTCTGTTTCCTTTTCTTTCTTTTTTAAGGCTGTATAATTGTAGATTTTTATACTCACATTTTATTCTCAAAACATTTTAAGATTAGATAGTAACTGAAACTCAACTGTCTGGGGCTTTTAAAAAAAATTTAGAACAGTGCAGTTGCCTGTTGTTGCTGTGGTTTTCCTCATCCTTGGTCACCTCCCTCTGCAATTACAGGTGAGCAGAATGGCAACAGAAATCCTGGTGGACTGCAGATTGGTGACCTGGTCAACATAGATCTTGACCTTGAAATTGTACAGTCTTTGCAGCACGGTCATGGCGGATGGACTGATGGCATGTTTGAGACCTTGACTACAACTGGAACAGTTTGTGGAATTGATGAAGATCATGACATTGTAGTACAGTATCCAAGCGGCAATAGGTTGGTTCTATTTATTAATTTTCAGTAATGGCAAGTGAAATTTGTCTACAGAGGAACTCTGAGCCTTACAAAAAGCAAATAATGTGACATAACAAAGACTTCTTACAGCTGACTCTTCAGTAGTAGAAGAAAATCCAGAATACCTTAGTAAAGTGGAAGGAAGCAAGTAAGAACTCTGTGTGTGTGTGTGTATTTATGAGTCAATGTTCTGTGCACTTTTTTCTCCCTTTAGTGAGCAGGATACATTGTGTCAGTATTGGGTCCAAGTGTAGCTAACAATTTGTCTGTTCCTGGTGGGCTGTATCAGTCTACCCTGAATGAACAGGGTAATAGCACTGAACTCCTCTGGTCCCTGTCTCCTGTTGTCTCATGGTGATACAGCTCTCCCTTGCCACACGCTCATCGGTATCAGCAACACAGCACTGTGTGCATTTAGTCATTTCTGTAACCTTCCGTACACACCATCCTTCCATGCACACTCCATCCTTCCATGCTCCTTGTCTTCCTCTTCTCTGGATAACTCCTCTGCCTCCTGTAAATACTGAATATGTGCTTGCCTCCTCTCTCCAGCTACCCTCCCTGGTACATGCATACAATATTTATCTGTTTAAGCCTCCTATTATCCACTAAAATGGTTATTTATTTGATCTCTGGGTTTCAGGTTTCTTGGAGACTGGGCCTGTGCCTTTTATTTGTTTATCCCTAGGGGCCCAAATGTATCCAGTTTACTAATATGTTTATAGTATTTTAGAGACAAAATAGTTAATTGTCAAATCTTTATTACTGCCATGTACTTAAAGAAACTAACTCTCCCAAGTTTCTTTAGGGGAGGGATTATATATCGAATAAGAAAAATAAACATTAAATTGCTAACCAAAGTATAGAATTAACTCTAGTTGTTTTCAGATCTGGAGAATATATGTGACCATATCAAGAGATGCACAAAAAACATTTGACAAAATCCAACATCCTTCATGGTAAAAATACTAAATAAACTAAGAACAGAAGGGAACTTCTTCAGCCTGATAAAAGGCATCTATGAAATCCTACAGTGAACAGCGTCCTCAGTGGTGAAAGACTGAATGATTTCTCCTTTAAGATCAGGAACAAAACCAGAATGTCTGCTCTCCTTGCTTTTATTCCATCTTGTCCTAGAGGGTCAAGCTGTGGCAGTTAGGCAAGAAAAAGAAATAAGAGGGAGAAGTAAGAGAATGGAACAAGTTAAGCCATCTCTGTCCACATGTGATGTGATCTCGTGCATAGAAAAATCTAAGGAATCAACAAAAAAAACTATTAGAAGTAATAAATGAATTCAGCATAGTCATGGGATATAATATTAATATAGAAAAATAAAATAAAAAGTATTTCTCTATACTACAATGAACAACCTGAAAATGAAAATAAGAAAACAATTCTGTTTATAATAGCATCAAAGAATAAAATACTTAATATTAAATTACCCTAATAAGTACAAGACGTATACACTGAAGACTCTAAAACATTATTAAGGAAGTTAAATATGACCTAAATAAATGGAAAGATGTTTCATGTTTATGGATCAGAAGATCTAATATTGTTTAGATGGTGCATTAGTTTCCTAGAATTGCCATAACAAATTACCACAGAGTGGCTTAAAACAGCAGAAGTTTCTTCTTTGACAGTCCTGGAGGCTAAAAGTCAGGGTGTTGGCAAGCCTGATTCCTTCTGGGGACTCTGAGGAGAGTCTGTGCTGCGCCTCTGTCCTGGTGCCGACGGTTGCTGTAGTCCTCCGTGTTCCTTGGCCGGCTGGTGCATCACTTGTTTCTTTGTCTCCGACTTCACTTGGCCTTGTCCCCAGCGAGTCTGTGTGTCCCTGTGTCTTCACATGACCACCTTCTTCTTTTTTGGGGTGAGGCACACATTTTATTTTTAAATTCATTCAAATTAATCTCTGGTTAGTCAAGTTCAGTATCAGAGATTATCTGATACTGAGAGCCACATAAACCATCCTCTGGCCCGCTATTTTCTTTTCAATAAGCCAGCACTTGTAGCTTAGCCCTCCATGAGGGAAGAACCCTAAGGAGGTGTAGAAGAACATTAATTGAGCTCATGGAAATTCTAAAACCTTTTACATAGAAAATGATGAAAAGATGGTTGTATATGACCTTTTAAGGACACCAGTCATTGGATTTAGGGCCCATGCTAATTATTCATGACCTCATTTTGACTTGATCATATCTGCAAAGACTCTGTTTCTAAATGTGATTACATTCAGGTATTGGGGATTAACATTTCAGCATATGTTTTTGGAGGAAATAATTCATCATTTAACATATGACAGTATTCCTCAAATTAATCAACAGATGTGTACAATCCCTATTAAAATCCTGTTGCCTTTCTTTTACAGAAATTGGCAAACTGATCCTAAAATTCATGTGGAAACTGAAGGGACCCAGAATAGCCAAAACAGTTTGAAAATGAACAACAAAGTTGAAGGACTTCCTAATTTGAAAATTTACTACACAGCTACAGTAATCAAGACAGTCTATTACTGACTTAAAAATAGACATGTAGATTCAGTTCAGTTCAGTTCATTCACTTAGTGGTGTCTGACTCTTTATGACCCCATGAACCGCAGCACGCCAGGCCCCCATGTCCATCACCAACTCCCGGAGTTGACCCAAACCCATGTTCATCGAGTCAGTGATGCCATCCAACCATCTCATCCTCTGTTGCCCCCTTCTCCTCCTGCCCTCAATCTTTCCCAGCATCAGAGTCTTTTCAGATGAGTCAGTTCTTCACATCAGGTGGCCAAAGTATTGGAGTTTCAGCTTCAAAATCAGTCCTACCAATGAACACCCAGGACTGATCTTTAGTGTGGACTGGTTGGATCTCCTTGCAGTCCAAGGGACTCTCAAGAGTCTTCTCCAGCACCATAGTTCAAAAGCATCAATTCTTCGGCGCTCAGCTTTCTTTATAGTACAACTCTCACATCTATACATGACCACTGGAAAAACCATAGCCTTGACTAGACGGACCTTTGTTGACAAAGTAATGTCTCTGCTTTTTAATATGCTATCTAGGTTGGTCATAACGTTCCTTCCAAGGAGTAAGCATCTTTTAATTTCATGGCTGCGATCACCATCTGCAGTGATTTTGGAGTCCAGAAAAATAGTCAGGCACTGTTTCCACTGTTTCCCCATCTATTTGCCATGAAGAGATGGGACTGGATGCCATAATCTTAGTTTTCTAAATGTTGAGCTTTAAGCCAACTTTTTCACTCTCCTCTTTCATTTTCATCAAGAGGGTTATTTATTTATTTATTTATTTATTTATTTGGCTGTGTTGGGTCTTAGCTGGAGCATGTGGGGTCTAGTTCCCTGACCAGGGATTGAACCTGGCTCCCCTGCATTGTGAGCTCAGAGTCTTAGCCACTGGACCACCAGGGAAGTCCCCAACAAGAGGCTCTTTAGTTCTTCTTCACTTTCTACCATAAGGGTGGTGTCATCTGCATATCTGAGGTTATTGATGTTTCTCCCGGCAATCTTGATTCCAGCTTGTGCTTCCTCCAGTCCAGCGTTTCTCATGATGTACTCTGCATATAAGTTAAATAAGCAGGGTGACAATATACAGCCTTGATGTACTCCTTTTCTTATTTGGAACCAGTCTGTTTTTCCATGTCCAGTTCTAACTGTTGCTTCCTGACCTGCATACAGGTTTCCCAAGAGGCAAGTCAGGTGGTCTGGTATTCCCATCTCTTTCACAATTTTCCACAGTTTATTGTGATCCACACAGTGAAAGGCTTTGGCCTAGTCAATAAAGCAGAAATAGATGTTTTTCTGGAACTTTCTTGCTTTTTCGATGATCCAGCGGATGTTGGCAGTTTGATCTCTGGTTCCTCTGCCTTTTCTAAAACCAGCTTGTAGATTGGTTGAGTAGAATTGAGAGTCCAGAAATAAGCCCTTGCATTTAAAGTCAGTTAATTTTTGATAAGTGTTCAGCACAGTTCAGTGGGGGAAACAATAGTCTTTTCAACAAATGGTGCTGACAGTATTTACAAATATTCAATTATTGCAATGTTCATCTAATTTTGTGTTAACTAATGTTTATGTCAATTTTGCAATAATTAAAAAATAAAGCTGCAGTTAAAGAAAGCACCCAAACCAAATCATGCTACGTCAGTTGTATATTGGCATGCAATAGAATGAAATTGGACCCCTAATTCACACCATGTATAAATATTAAGTCGGAATGAATCACAGACCTTAATGCAAGAGGTAAAACTGTAAAACTCTTAGAACAAAACATAGTTGTACATCTTCATGACCTTGGATTAAACTGTGGTTTCTTAGATATGACCTTGAGGGTAGAAGCAACCAAAGAAAAAGTGAATAAGTTATACTTCATCAAAATTAAAACTTTAATATTTCTAAGGGGGCTGTCAAAACGGTGAAGAGACAACCTGTGGGATGGGAGAAAATATTTGCAAATCATATGTTTGATTAGGGACTTGTGTCTAGAATACACTGTAAAGAACTCTTAAAATTCAACAATAAAAGGTAAATAACCTAGTTGAAAATGGACAAAGGATTTAAATAGACATTTTTTAACAGAAGATATTAATGTTGTTCAGTTGTATCCAACTTTTGCGACCCCATAGACTGAAGCCCACCAGGCTTCTCTGTCCATGGGATTTTCCAGGCAAGAATATGGGAATGGGTTGCTATTTCCTTCTCCAGGAGATCTTCCCAACCCGGGGATTGAACCCTGGCCTCCTGCATTGCAGGCAAATTTGTTACCATCTGAGCTACTAGGGAAGCTTCTCACAGAAGGTACAGAAATGGTCAATGAATGCATTGCATTAGTCTGCTAGGGCTTCCTTAACAAAATATCACAGACTGGTGGCTTAAACAATAGATGTTTCTTTATTTATTCTTTTTTTTACTGTTCTGGAGGCTAGAAGTCCAAGATCAGGGTGCCATCTGGGTATGTTTCTGGTGAGACCTCTTCTCGGCTTGGAGAGGATAGCTTTCTCTTTGTCCTCACATGGCACCTCGCCTTTATGACATCATTTAGCCTTACTTTTCTCCCTAAAGGCCCTGTCTCAAATATAGTTACATAGGAGCCATAGAGCTTTACCATGTGAACTTTGGAGAGATTCAGTTCATTCTGTTTCACCCTTGAAGAGATGCAGGACATTATTAGTTACTATGGAAATTCAATTCACAACCACAATGAAATACAACTTCACATACTAGAATGGCTAGAACAGAAAGGTAGGATAATTACAAGTGTTGCTGAGGGCATAGAGAAATTGGAACGAAACCCTCCTACATTAACGATAAGTAGATGAAGTGGTCTAGATGCTTTGGAAAACAGTAGTTTCTCAAAATGTTAAATATAGAGTTGACATATGACCCAGCATGTCCACTTCCAGGTTTATATCCAAGGAAATTACAGTGTGCCCACACCAAAATCTGTACATGGATGTTTGTAGAAGCATTATTCATAACAGCCAACATGTGAAAATAAGCCAAATGTGTATTGACTCCTGAATGGATAATTAAGTTGTGGTATATCCAATGGAACATTTTATTTGACTGTAAAAAGGGATGGAGTACTGACATATGCTGCAACATAGATAAATCTGGAAAAAATTTGTCGAGTGAAAGAAGCCTGTCACAAAAGGTCACATACTATCTGATTTTACTTATAGAAAATGTCTAGAATAAGGAAATCCATAGAAACAGAAAGTGTATTACTGGTTGTTAGAGGCTGGGAAGAGAGAGTTGATTTCACAGTGACTGCTGGTTGTCATGGGGGTATCTTTTTGTGATGATGAAAATGAAATGATTATAGTGGTGGTTGGTTATACAACTGAATATACTAAAACCACTGATTTATACACATTAAATGAGTGAATTGTATGTGAATTACATCTTAATAAAGAAGGGAAAAAATCTTAAATTCAGAATAGCATGTATTAACATATGTTGTCTTAAATGGCCTCTCATTTGGAAATGGTAAATTAACACAGGTTAGGATTGTTACTTGCAGAATTCTTCCTTGGTCCAAATTCTCTTGGGTTCTAGTGTTATTAGTAACATAACATTTGACTTTTAGAAAAAAATTTTTTTATTCTTTATTTAAGAACAGTTTATTAAGTACTTATCCTGTATTAGGGCCCGTGATTAGTTTTAGAATTACAGAGACAGTTAAGGCATGGTCCTCTACTCTGAAGAAGTTTCCCTTTAAAGTTGGATAGATAAAGTCAGAAATAGCTGTATTGAAATGTTTTAAGTAGTTGTGAGCAGTGAATATTCAGGCTGTTCTGAAGGTACAAAAGAAGAGTGATCTTTTCAGCTGGGCAAATTAGCTCTCTGTTACAACCATCACTCAGCATATTAATAGAAGATCTGCATTCCATATACAATGGAATAACTGTTGTGTAGAGAGGTGCAGAATGATGATCGAGGTGTGTTTGTGTGCAATGGAACTTTCACTTTACATGTTTCTGAAATGTTTTAATCTTTAACAACAAGTGTGTATTACTTTTATAACAATTTTTAAAGCATGCAAGCGATAATCTAGACAAAAGCGTATGGTACGAGTATGGTGAGATTATGGATGACTCTTCTCTCAAATTTGTTATAATAAAATTCTAAAAAGAAACACAGATCATTCAGGATGTAATCGTAAAGGATTGCTTTACACTTTGGATGTGTTATAATGCTTTTCCCCCTCCAGTGGTTAACTATGAATGTTGTGCTGAAGTGAAGTAAACTTACCGACTTCGAATTTGGTTTGGTTTTTAGGTGGACCTTCAACCCTGCTGTTCTCACTAAAGCAAATATTGTCCGAAGTGGGGATGCTGCGCAGGGTGCAGAGGGAGGCACCTCTCAGTTTCAAGTGGGTGATCTTGTCCAAGTTTGTTATGATCTGGAGAGAATTAAACTTCTACAGAGAGGACATGGAGAGTGGGCAGAAGCTATGCTCCCAGTAAGTGTATATTAAGGCCTTTGGGAGTCGGAACTATAGCTTGCTTACAGAGTTTTGAAAAGCTTTGATGAGTTTAATTTTAGAAACGATAACAGCTTAATCCTTTGAGAATTGTACTCTACACTGGCAGCTTAGCATCTGTATGCCTTTTATTTTCTAAATTTACTTCAGTTAGAGTAACTTTGTTGTTGTTGTTTAGTTTTTTTTAATTTTATTTTTTATTGAAGGATTATTGCTTCATAGAATTTTGTTGTTTTCTGTCAAACCTCAACATGAATTGGCCATAGGTGCACATATATCTCCTCCCTTTTGAACCTTCCCTCCCATCTCCCGCCCCATCCCACCCCTCTAGATTGATACAGGGCCCCTGTTTGAGTTTCCTGAGCCATACAGCAAATTCCTGTTGGCTATCCATTTTACATACGGTGATGTAAGTTTTCATGTTACTCTTTCCATACATCTCACCCTCTCCTCCCTTCTCCCCATGTCCATAAGTCCATTCTCTATGTCTGTTTAGTTGCTAAGTTGTGTCCAACTCTTTGTGACCCCATGGACTGTAGCCCACCTGGCTCCTCTGTCCGTGGGATTCTCCAGGCAAAAATATGGGTAGCCTTTCCCTTCTCCTGGGGATCTTGCCTGACCCAGGAATTGAATTCGGGTCTCCTGCAGTGTATTCTTTACTGCTAAGCCACCAGGGAAGCCCTTCGATTAGCCTGGGAAGATCCCTAAAGGGCTATAGTTAATATATGGTAGATAAATTTAATTTTATAGAGCCTTTAGTGGCAAATGTAATGTTTAGGTGAGACAAAGAGGCTTCCTGATCCTTCACCCCAGAATGACAGTGGCTTTCATACTTCTGTCTTGAAATTAGGCTTGATTCCAAAAAGGATTTAAACATAGATGTAAGCTTTGAGCCCTTTTTGGTTTAAGTTTTTTTTTTTTAGAAAGCAGATTTTATTTTTTTAGGCTAGATTAATGATAGTTTGGACTATTTGAGTTACAAGTTCTCTAGAGGTATCTTATAAGGTTACTTTTTTGAATAAGATTGTCATGATTATTTTTATATTTTGTGTAAGTGTAACAGTTTTATTAAAATATTTTTTAAAGATACTCTATAAAGTTTGTCGCTAGTAAATAATCCATTTGAATATGATTATCCTTTAAAAGTTTTTTAAATTAGGAATCAAGTAAAGTTAATACTTCAAACATGTAAAAACTGATGATTGATTTCTATAGTGTAGACTTGGAAACATAAATCTAATAAATCAAACACAAATCTAATCTTGTTTTTAAGACTTTAGGTAAAGTTGGCAGAGTACAGCAGATTTATTCAGACAGCGATTTAAAGGTGGAAGTATGTGGAACATCTTGGACGTATAATCCAGCGGCGGTTTCCAAGGTGGCGTCCGCAGGATCAGCCATTAGCAACGCATCTGGTGGTATGTTCTGTTTTGTGTTTCTTTAAAAGCAATGTGGTTTACATTAGAACCCTTCCTCATTCTCTGGTTCTGGTACACAGATAATGTTATGTGTGATCTTGATTTTCTCCCAGATCACATTACCTCACTTGCATATTAACTACCTTTTAAACTTGCGCTAAATGTCTTTTTTTTTTTTTTTTTCATATGACGAACCACCTTTGCACTGGCTGAGGTATGCCCAGTGAAAATTCTATAAACATGTTCATTTTCTCAGATATATCAAGGGCTTCTCCACGTCAAATAGGAGATACCTGAAATTCAACATGGTACTCTTCAGTCAGAACATTTGTTTTCTGCCACAGAACCATCACTTTCTTTGACTGCCTTATTTATTTTTATAATTTCCAATATTATTGCTAGCAGATGGCTTTCTTTCTGGATAGTTTTATGTATCAGCCATACCTTTTCTCTTGTCATTTTATGAGAGGTACTGTACAGGCCACAGTGGGTGGAGAGAGCTGTGCTAAGATGTGAGTATGCTGGACGCTTGGGTAGACTCAGGCCCAGAGCTTTTCTTCTCATGATCCAGCTCTATGTACACAGTCAGTTCATTAGACAACTGGTTACAACTTACCGTGCGAATGTAGCTGACATCCAGAAGAGAAGATGGAGCCATGACTGGGCACAGTGAGAAAGTGAAGGAAAACGTTGGCTGACCTCCAGTTTTATTTTGTGCTGCCTTCTGCTTCCTCTGCTTGTGTCGTCTTTCCTGCTGTAATTTGCTAATGTGTTTGAGGTTAAATCAGGTGCTGTTTATTTTTACCTTGTGGTTAGATAGCATCACAGTAGGCTGACTTTTATCAGGCTGGCCAAAAATTTCATCCATAACATCTTACAGAAAAATCCAAATGAACTTTTTGGCTTACCCGTTACATATTGAAAGAGTGAAAAATTGCTTATATCCTTCTCTCAGATAATGTAGATTTGGTGTTGGGTCTCAGTTTGTGACCTCTTTCCTTTCCAGTAAGTAGATCCTAGAGTTAAGGGGGAGAACTGGGTAGATTCGCTACTGATCAATGCTATTTGGAGGGGAAAAAACCAAACCAAACCTTAGGAAAGGGTTTATTTAAGCACATACCTGGTTCTTTCTTGTTTTAGTCAGAACCAGTCAGTTGGCACCTTTGAAGTATTTTATTTTAATATTTTCAAGCTGAAAATTGGTTTGTCCCTAAAATATTTCCCCAGAGACTATAGAGATTATATTGCTTTTGTATCATAATCATTGATCTGTTGCATTGAGGTCTGAGAGCAGTAAGATACACTCAAGACCTGAAAGGCAATTTGTATCATATGATACTCCTGTGGTAGTGTGTTCATTTGTAATATCTTTGGTATGACTCCAAAATCTTAAATTACAGTTTGTGTGTAACTCTCTTTTTCTGAAATTTTAACTTGAAATACATGAATTGGAGTAAACCGGGAGTAATTGTGGGCTCAGATTTAAAGCAGTTTTATATGGTAGTAATTGTAACTTGCATGGGTAGTATCTGTAGCTTAGTACCAAAGTAATATTAATGATAGACATAATAAAACAGGAAAAGTATGTATTACAGGCATGTGGGCAATGGTTGTCTGTTGGTAGTTACGATTTGAGATCCTCCTATATTAGCAGCTTTATTTGATGCTTTACAGAAAGACTCTCCCAACTCTTGAAGAAATTATTTGAAACCCAAGAATCTGGTGACCTCAATGAAGAATTAGTTAAGGCTGCTGCCAATGGAGATGTTGCTAAAGTGGAAGATTTGCTAAAAAGACCAGATGTGGATGTGAGCATTTTAAAATTTATTTTGAAGCATATGCAAAAATAGAATAGTTACAATAAACCTTTTATTCAGCAGTTATTAAGATATTGCCACATGTGCTTCATCTATTCCTTCTTCCTTGTTCCTAAGGTATTTTAAAGATGACACTGGGCATTATTTCTTCATTGTGCGTTTCTAGAAGATTACTGACTTTCTTATTTTAGTACTGACTTTTGAACTTTATGATGTCAAAATTTACTTTGAGGTTTTTAAGTAGTTAGTGTCCTTTGGGGAAATTCAGTGAAATTTTCTTGTGGTAAATGTTATAATGTTTTAAAAATATATTTTAAAAATATATAAGCAATTATAAGCAATTTTCCATCCTTCTTTTCAAAACATTTAACCTAAGCTTTCCCCTCTCCTCCTTGTGAAAGTTGACTGTTTCATGGTTCATAATGCAGTTGAATTAGGGGTCATGCATTTTGTAAATCTGAATAGTTTATGTTGTAATGTTACCATTCACCAAAGCCATATTTTAAATGGGTTCAAACTGCACATTCTGGTTCTCGCTTAGTTGTTCACTGGCTTTAGCATCACTACTATTCTGGAACCAATACGATGTCAGTGCTGGCCAAAGGGTTGTAGGTTGAGTGTCACTTTGAATCATTGTCACTGTGTAATGAGGGCTTTCATTACCATATCTTTGTATGTAAGTATGCTGGACAGTTTAACAGAGGTCAGATCTATAATTTACAAGGTGAAAGTGAAAGATGCTCAGTTATGTCTGACTCTGTGACCCCATGGACTATACAGTCAATGAAATTCTCCAGGCTAGCATACTGGAGTGGATGGCCTTTCCCTTCTCCGCGGCTCTTCCCAACCCAGGGATCGAACCCAGGTCTCCTGCATTGCAGGCAGATTCCTTACTAGTTGAGCCACAAGGGAAGCCCAAGAATATTGGAGTGGGTAGTCCTGTCTCCAGCGGATCTTCCTGACCCAGGAATCGAACTGGGGTCTCCTGCATTGCAGGCGGATTCTTTACCACCTGATCTATCAGGGAAGCCTGAAATAACATCTTACTCCTATGATCTCATGTGGCATTTCAGGTTTGTTGGGGATCAGTTGCAGCAGCATGGCACAGTAGTTTCTTGATTGGTTGTGAGCTATGTCACAAATAGTTTCAGATATTAAAGTACCAAATGTTTTTTGTGTTTGGAATGTAGAGTCAGACTTCTTTTATATTTACTTATGCAGATTTACATTTTATTACACTTAATTTTTTCTTCATTACAGATTTATTTCAGTTGTTTTTTTAGAATGTAGTACATTCTAAAAATTTAAAGTGAAAAATAGTTCTCCAAGATTTGTTATGAAAAGCAGCATCTCATTCTCAATGCTATTTCCCTTTTGTTCAGAGGCAACTATTTTCACCTCTTTGAGCTGATTTCCTTCATACAGTTACCTCCTCATCTTTCAGTAACTTCTATTGTTATTTCTTGACTTGTAGGTTTTAGAAGTTATGTTTTGATACTGCTCTGTGAAGGTGAGGATTCCACTTTCCTTCTCCACATTTAACCCATCCTTTCCACACACATGCATACCTCTTCCAGGTTCTTAATATGGTATTGCTTTATAATTTTGTTAATGTTAGAACTAATTTTGCATGTTACATTCAAATAGCATCCATATCTGAGCTGTGGAGGATACTTGATTGTGTTTTTTTGCACAACTTTTTGCTTTCCTTGGTGTTCATAATTGTTCTTTAAAAAAAAACAAAACCACCTGAGGTGTAATTTACATACAGTGAAATACATGGGTCAGTCAGTTTTGACAAATGCATACACCTATATAATCCACAGCCCTACTCAGATGTAGAACACTTTCATTGTTCCAAAGGGTTCACTTGTCTCTTAACCCCAGGACATAATCTAAACACTTTTGTTTTCATTTGTTAGTAATCTGTATTGTTACTATTATTAATTCTTCTCCAGAATTCTCTCTTAACTGTGTAATCTCTTAAGACATTCAGCACATCAAGTTTTGTGTGCGTTTCATCTGAGAGAGATTTCTCTTAGTGCCTCTGATGGGATCCATCTGGAATGTCTCTCACTCATCATCCTCCAGGTTCCTTTCCCCTCTCTCCTGTGCTGGATTTCTTGTTTTCTTTATCCTTGTCCTTCTGTCTCCAACTTTATTCTCGTTTTTGTGAAGTATGGCTTTCAGTAGCTTCTTCAGAAAAAGGGTACATGAGAAATCGACCTTCAGTATATAACTTTTTTAACATTACATTTCAATTTTAGGTGGGAAGAGAATTCAAGTTTAGATATCATTGTCCTTCAGAATAATTCCATTTTCTTCCAGCATTCAGAATTGCCATTCTGATTCCTGATCCTTCATGTGATCTGTTTCATTTTTTTTCAAGCATGCAGATCTCTTTTTTCACCAGTGTCTGAACTTGTGCAGTGTTATGCCTTGATGTAGATCTGTCTTCATCTGTTGCTTTTAATGTTTGATCTTTTTATCCTGGAAACCATGTCTTTCATATATGGAAATTTTGGATAGTTTTTTAATTTAAGATTTTAGTTTTAGAGCAGTTTTAGGTTTTAATAAATTGAAATTGAAAGATACAGAGATTTTCCATGTATTCTGTTTGTTGAGATTGTTTTTGCTCCATTGTATTACCTTTGCTTCTTTGTTAAAAATCACTTGAGTGTGTTTATGAGAGGCTGTTCCTGGGCTTCCTGTTCTTTTCCTTTCTTCTGTTTGTTTATTCTTTGGGTAGTACCACACTGTTGTGGTTACTGTAGCTTTGTGGTACGTCTCAGAGTCCGGTAGTGTCAGTCCTCCAGCTTTATTGCTCTCCTTTAATATTGGGTTGACTGTTCTGGGCCTTTTGCCTGTCCATTTAAACTTCCATACAGTAACTCGCTGGGATTTTGATTGTTGATTATGTTGAATCTGTGGATCAAGTTGGGAAGAACTGACATCTTGACATTATTGAGTCTTCTTATCCATGAACATGGGGTATTGGTCCATCTATTTAGTTTCTTAATTCCATTTATCAGAGTTCTATAGTATTCCTTATGTACATTTTATACACATTTTGTTAAAGTTATACCTAAGTTCTTAATTTTAGGGGGCGATAATGTAAATGGTATTGTGTTTTTACTTGCATTTCCTGGTTTATTAGTAATATTGAGCATCTTTTTTATGTTCATGTCGGCCATTTGAAATGTCTTCTTTGGAAAAAATGTCTGTTTTTCCATGTTGTGTTTCCATATCCATTTACACAGCATCTGAAGTGAAGAAAAGATTGGATATTACTGCTTTATAGTAGAACAGTGGAACAGTTGTGTATAGCTACTCTGGTAACTCATTTACATATCCTTTGTGGTAGTTTGCTTACCACTGACATTTGGCTGTGTTTGTTGAATTTATGTGTACTATATTAGACAGTATCTTTTCTAAAAGTCTTCCATTCACCTCATTACTTTTTTTTTCATTGAAACAGACTCTGAGGTTTAAAAATACTTAAAGTAGACACATATTTAAAATAAATGTAACTTCCCTTTGTCCCTCCTTCCCTCCCATCCTTTTCTGTTTTCAACTTTGCAGATTGGCTAAAAGTTCTTTTGTAACTCTTTTAATAGTGGAACTCTTAGAGTGCCTGAATCCCTCCCTAACTTAGAAATGTGATACAGGTCACATTTCTGGTGATCTGTATCAAGATATATAGAACACCAACCTAAATTGTTCTCATAGAATCATTCAGTTTGTTGGGTTTAAACCTACACCATGTGTATGTATTGGCTCTTTCCTTCTTGTGACATTTCTTCATCCTTTCTTTTTGTATTTAGGTGAATGGACAGTGTGCTGGTCACACAGCTATGCAAGCTGCTAGTCAGAATGGACATGTTGACATTTTGAAGTTACTTTTGAAGCAAAATGTGGATGTAGAAGCAGAGGTAATTAAACTAAGTTTTAAAAATATGTAAGTAAAAATTAATGTCTTAGAAATGGTCCTTCTGTATCATTGAGATGGATGCTTTTTCATTTTGAAATTTAATATTAACTCAAGGCTCTTCTGATTAAAAAGAAAAAATTTGAGAAAAGATAGCATGAAGCATTTTGTGTTTTTCTGTGCTCTCTCGATATTCTAGGCATAACCCTAAGTGAAGAAGGTTGAGTTTCCTTTTGCTATGGTAGGACTACTATGCTGTTGAGAGCTTGGCGGTATTTACCCATGACTCATACTGGGGAAATTGAGGAAAGAGGAATATAAATCACATGGGGCAAGATTTTCCCTGATCTGTGACATGCAGAGGGCTTTCCTTGTTTTTTTGTTTTTTCATGAGGGAACCAGTAAATTAGAATTTGTTTAGTCTTACAGTTTCTTAACCTTAATTTGGGTTTTTAAAGATTTTATAGTGTGTGTTTATCACTCTGTGTGTGTATATGTGCTTAATTTAATGTAGAACATGTTCTTATTAAAGGAGAAATGAATGATTCTTACTGGCATTGAAATTTCATTGGCTGGTGTGGGTAGAGGGCTTCCTTTGTTGTAGTTAACTATAACTGCATCACTTAAAAATATATTAGAATTGTATTTGTTTTAGTCTAATGCAGGGTTATTTGGGAATAAGCCAAATTCTATCAGATTCATACTAGGCAAAATGTTGCAATTTTGTCCAAATGACACTCCCATCTGAGGAAGGTATTTAATAAGGATTTGAATTTTGGAGGGCGAAATTTGTGGGTCAGTCTGTTTTTACTAATTATAAAAATTTAAAGACATGTTTGAAAACAGAAGTCTTACATTCTCTTTGCTTTCTTCCCCCATTTGTGTATATCTTGAGTTGTTGAATAGCTACTAAAGAACCAGTGGTATTTTAGGTCATCCTTGATGTTGGCATTTTCTTTTGCCTAGAGCTTGAGTTTTAAATTAGCATATTAGACATTCGTAAACTGTACACTAGTTTTATTACTGTGATGTATTTATGAATGAGATTATATAATTTGACTTTGCGTTTACAGAGTAACTTTAAGTCACATCTTTCTTGGTTGTGAATTTAGGAGCCCAGTATGTGTTTACAAGGATTTTTTTTTTTTAGTGATGCATGATAGACTTAGTACAATGTAATATTTTGTAAATATTACATTTTGGACATCCTATTTTTTAATTTAATGAATCCAGAAACTGCAAACTAAAATATTGCAAGCCTTCTGACCTTTGTTTTGGCCATGCCTTGCAGGTTGCAGGGTCTTAGTTTCCTGACCAGGGGTTGAACCTGGGTAATGGCAGTGAGAGTGCCGAGTAGTGACCACTAGACCACCAAGGAATTCCCCAGACTCTGCTGATGAAAGAAAATAAGCTGAGAGGCTTTAGAAACCAAAGATTTTTTTTCCTGGTTTTCTAAAAAAAAAAACTATACTTTCTGATTCAGCATTACTAAACCTTACAAAGTGAGACTATCCATAGACTTGTTCACATGAGAGGTTGCGTAGAGTAGGGCTGCGGCTAGGGGGCTGCGAATGAAGTTGGCACTATTTTTCAAGAGTAGGGTTTTTTCTTTCTTTCTTTTTTTTTTCTTTCTTAATTGAACTCAAATAAGCAAAACAGTTATTACTCTCCACATAAGATTGGAGTTGGAGCAAGGCCAGTAGTTTGTAAATAACATCATTCAATTTGGAAACTCCGTCTGTTACTACACAGGTATGTGTGGCCTTCTACCATCCCACCTCTTTTATTTTCATTCTGGGCATTTTCTGTTTTAAAAACCATTGTAGACAGATGTAATTTGTAGAGATAGTGTGAAAAAGGGATATTTACACATCTGATTAAGTTAATAGCACAGTTTCCCAGTGGGTAAAGGGAAAACTACATTTAAAAACTGGGTTGAAATATAAATGTAATTCATTGCCTAAGAATAAAGCAAAAGTTCAGCAAAGTTTCATATTTCTAGAATGTAAGATTCAACATTGTTATAAATAGCAAGATAATTTACTTAAAACAGTGATTCTTAATTGGGGAGCATTTCTGTCCCACAGGGAACGTTTTGTGGAGACATTTTTTTAAAAAATTTATTTATTTATTTATTTTTTTGGTGGAGACATTTTTTATTGTCACAACTGTTTGGTGGGGAGCAGGGGACTGACAGGCATGTAATGGATAGAAACTGAGGATGCTACTAAACATCCTCGAATGTACAGGGCAGTTCCCACAGCAAAGAATTATCCAGTCCAAAATGTCAGCAATGCTGATTGGAAATCCTGGTTTAAAAGAGGGAGAAAATAGTTAATTTTTCAAATGCACTTAAAATTGTGATTCATCGTTTGTATATTGATCGATCTGTTTGTAAATTAATTATTATTGGAAATTTTAAACATTTGTAAAAATAGAATAGTCTAATGAATCCTGTGTACTCATTATTCCACTTGAGTTATTTTTTCTGGCCAAGTCTGTCTTTTTTTTTTTTTGACCAGGTCTGTCTTATCAGTACCTTCTTAACTCTCATTTCCTCCACTGAATTATTTTGAAGCAAATCCAGATATCATATTATTTCATCTGTAAATAGTTTTAGTATGTATCCAAGAAGATTAAGTGCTCTTCTCTTAAAACCTTTATTATACCTTTAACACACCTAGACACAATAATTTAATAATGATTTTTTTAAAATCCAATTTTATTAAAAGTTTAAAGTTAGCTGAAGAATAAAGAGAATAGTATATTTTGTTCTCTGGGAATCTCATTCTGCATCCTTTAATTTTATTCTTCTGCATCAAGAAGTGAGCTCAGAATAGTATAACTCACAGATTGCAATCTATAGCCCGAAGGCCAGGTCCAGCCCTTCATTTCTTTTTAAAAGTATTATTGGAACACAATGCAGTCATTCATTTATTTTATTGTGTAGTCTGCTTTTGTGCTCCAGCTGCAAAACTGAGTAGTTGTGATAAAAGATCATATAGCTTGTAAAACTTGTATTTACTTTCTGGCCCTTCACAGAAAAGTTGGCTGACCGCTAGTATAGATGACTATTTCAGATTTTTTAGTTGATTTAAGCTGTTAGAAAGCTAAATTATTTGCTGTATATTATACCTTTCAAATATGTGATAAGGTTACATTTTTTCCCTATTTCTTTTTCTTAGGGAAAGCTCAGAGCTATTTTGGAAAGTTGGTTGTCTCCATGTATGACCTACTGAATACAGTAGGGTTACATTCTGTTTCCTTCTTAATGTGTAGGTAGAGGCACCGAGGACTGTGGGATCTTAGGTATGTCAATTTGGGTGAGCTCATTTTTCATCCTCCAAGGACTCAGTATTTTTTTTTCCTACTGATGAATATAATAAGTAAAGGTGTGGAGGATTGAATGGAAGCCCAGTTTTAAAAAGTGAATTCTTTACAATAAGTTTTTCAAATATAGTACAAATACATACTGATGATATAAGCAAATTTTAAGTGGTTTTATTATTTAAGACTAATGAAAGCTCTTTTGAATGGAGAATATTAATAGTAGGGAATAATACTAGACTTTGTCAAAAACCCAAGTTTGAATGGTATTATTGCTGTCTAAAATAATATTGGGCAAAAAGTTTAATTGGTTTAACTTTCTGTTTCCTCATCTATGGTAATAATTTGAAGGGGTGGGGAGTTGAGTAAGGGAAACAATTAAGATACCACTTATAATATAGAACACCATGGAAATTTAAGGTTTCATTATTATCTGTGTTCTCATTAAACATTTCTCTCCAACTAGTGAAAGTTTAGAGAAGGAAATGGCTACCTAATCCAGTGTTCTTGCCTGGAGAATCCCTTGGACAGAGTAGCCTGGTGTAGTCTACAGGCCATGGGGTCGCAAAGAGTTGGATAATGACTGAGCAACTTCACTTTCACTTTTCTTTTCAGTGAAGGCTAGCAGTTTCTCAAAAAAACAAAAACAACGAACAAATCCCAGATGCTATTTCTATCTGATTCTGTTTATCCGGTTAATGAAAACAAAACTGTAGAAACATTGTATTTAACTGTAATCTGCAAAGGAACGGGCGAGTAGATTTTCACTTCAGTTCAGTTCAGTCGCTTAGTCGTGTCTGACTCTTTGCAACCCCATGAATCCCAGCACGCCAGGCCTCCCTGTCCATCACCAACTTCCGGAGTCTACTCAAGCTCATGTCCATAGAGTCGGTGATGCCATCCAGCCATCTCATCCTCTGTCGTCGCCTTCTCCTTCTACCCCTAATCCCTCCCAGCATCAGGGTCTTTTCCAGTGAGTCAACTCTTTGCATCAAGTGGCCAAAGTATTGGAGTTTCAGCTTCAGCATCAGTCCTTCCAATGAACACCCAGGACTGATCTCCTTTAGGATGGACCTGTTGGATCTCCTTGCAGTCCAAGGGACTCTCAAGAGTCTTCTCCAACACCACAGTTCAAAAGCATCAATTTTTCAGCGCTCAGCTTTCTTCACAGTCCAACTCTCACATCCATACATGACCACTGGAAAAACCATAGCCTTGACTAGACGGACCTTTGTTGGCAAAGTAGTGTCTCTGCTTTTTAATATGCTGTCTAGGTTGGTCATAACTGACTAGTCAATTCAAGGAAATTCTTTTTTGGAAAACAAATCAGGACTCAGAATAATAACCTCCAGAATGGCTCTAGGAATTAGCATACATGGTTTCCTAGGGATCCATGTTAGTTCAGGTTGTGGCTAGAGGCTTTTCCACTTCCCTTTCCATGACACTGTTAAAAACGTGAAAAGATCTGATTTATTCATATAAGACCCAGAAAACAGTCCTTAGGGTGCCTTTTGCAGGAAGGCAGAGTGCAACCTGAGATTGCCCAAACAAAAAAGGTCAGATTTTTAAAGGGGCCATATCATAGTTTTACAGTCCTCCCTTACCAGCACCTTTATTTAGTTGCACAGGTTGGGTCTTAAGAACCGTCACTGACTCCTCTTTTTTCCCCAGACTCCTTATTCGGAATATAACTAAATCCCGTTGGCTCTGTGAAATTTGTCCAGAATTCACACAACTTTCATCCTTCTTGTTGCCACTGTGCTGTCTCCTCGCACTTCTCCTCCCCAGATGTCTTCAGGGCTTTCTCTCACTTCTCTCAACTATTTACTCACACCTTTCCTGGGAAGGGCCATCGCTTGGCTGTCTTGTCTGTCTTCCCTGCTATATTTTCTCCTTGGCATTTCCTCCTACCAAACATTTACATTTTATTTATATATTTCATTTTTAATGTTCTCTTTACCCCACTAGAATGGCAACTGAGGACAGGAGTTTTGTCTTGCCTGTTGTTATATCTCTATGTCCAGAACAGCACTGAGTTCATAGTGGGCACCTAGTCCATGATTACTGAATGAATGAATGAATGAACACACCAGAATATACCATATCCACATAGTCTGTTTAGGTTTAAGTATGATCAGGTTAGCAGCATCTTGATTAATTGAATGAGTTTTATGGAAAATAAGATGAGGTGCAATGTTACTTATTATATTTGAGAATAATAAAACAGTTGACATAATTTCTGAAAATAAATTAGAAATTAGAGTTAAACTAATTTTGTGAGTCAGGGGCAGTTTCATAAGAGAAGAGTTGCCTGAACTGAGTTTTAAAGAATGTGTGTTTTTAAGCCAATAACATAATGGAAAAGAGCACTGAAGTCTGAGAGCAGCACGTGAACATATAGGGTCAAGTCAGTTGGTTAAGTTAGTTGTATGTGTGAGGGAAGATGGCAGCAGTTGAGTCTGGAATGGTCCACAGAAGTAGGCTTTAATGTTCCTTATAGGGTTACATAAAAGAATTTTAAACATAAATTTTGTGTTTTATTAGAGAAAATTATTTTTTGTATGAAGAATAGATTGGAGTAAGAAGGCTGGGTGAGCTATGGCAGTAGGTCAGGTGAATGAGAATAAAAGAAGGTCTGAATCACTTAGATGTAGAATTGGACAAGAGAGAGTAGAGCCTAAACTAAAGAGTGAAAGCCATCAAATTTGGTGCTTACTTGTAGGGGTTCAGCAAAAGGAAGTAGATGAGCATGACTGATGGGTCCTGAATGTGTTGACTGTACAGCCTGCGGTTTTATCAGCCAGTAGAGGGGAGGGTGGAACAAGAGCAGATTTTAGAGTTTAGGAGGAAGAGGGTAGAAAGGACCAAGATCAGTGTTAGATTTAATTTGAGGCCCCTTTGCAGGTCTCTTTAGATCACCTTTGGAAGTGAGCTGTTGTGCTGGGCCTCAACAACTTGTTTGGTGGCAGTATCAGAGACAGAATAAATATCTTGTTGTTTGAAGCCTTTTGAAATATGTAAGATAAACTCGGAAGAAAGCAACAAAACCTGAAAGCTACGGTCTTTGTGCAAGTGAGGTTTTCTAATTTAGAATAAAAATCTGGAAATTAATTGTTGTTTTCTAATGCGTGTATGTATTTTCCAAAATCTTTACATTTTACTTATGTATTCCCCTTTGACATATATATTTGGGTTGTAATTTTTTAGTTTTTTTTTTTTAACATAAGCAAATTGTTGATGGAACCTGCATTAAAGTGTTTTTGTAGCAGTTCTCCAACAGTCATCAATATATGGTACATTTCATAAATAGTTCCTATCTTTATTCAGTGAGTGTCAGTGGATTGATGTTCTTATTTTAATGGAAGGAGTACCACTAGATAGGCTTAAAAATTATAATAGAAAATGAATCTAGACTGGAAGTTAGGAAGATCTTAAATCTAAAATTCTGAAATACTGTAATGTGTTACTCGAGCAGTTAACAATACACACACACATATATATATATATATATATATATTTTTTTTTTTGTAAGAAGCTTGTTTTTTTCTGGAATTTTAGATATAATACTGCTCAGAGGCACAAGAGTTGAATCCTTAATCTTTCCTGTGGTAGTTTGTGGTTCCTTTCGGCTTAAGGTTGAGAAGTAACAAAAACTCCTAACCTGTTCTGCTGGAATATTAGTAAAGGAGAAGTTCTGAATTGTGGTTTCCTGGCCTTTTAAGAAAGATTGTCAAGCCATTGTGGATTCCTGCTTGAGCAGTTTTACTTTTAGTATCTATTTGAGAAAATATGCAAAGACCAAAAACTATTTTGAATTCAGCAACTGTTGTGTTCATTTTTTAAAATGTATTTAGCTATGACGATATTCATCTGCATTATCTTTGGAAAGTAGTTCAGATAAGCCCAAGTGCAATATGGATTTTCAAACCACTTGCAAAAACTAGAGTCCATCAAGGGCTACCGTGGGTTGGAGAAAGTCTGAGAGTCTGCTTACTTCTGGGTGTTAATATTTGAGATGTGCATGGAATAAAGCAGTACCCTTATAATATCCTTTTCCATCTGCATCTAACAATGAGACTCTTTTTGGTATGGACTGTGTATATTATCTTTATGGTTCAATATAAGCATTTTTTTTTTTTTTAAAAAGCAGTCTCTTACATTTGAGAAACACTTAAGCAATTTCTACCTCTCCTCTCCTCAGAAATACGTCAACATTAGGTGAGGCATACCTACAGGATCCCTCTAAACTAATTTGGCAGTTTGTATGTATAGAATTATACTTGTTTGTGTTTCATTTTTATCTTTAAGTGAAGTGCTTAATAACTTTTTTCTGTTCTTGAATATATAGAAAAGTGTATGCTCATCAGCTAGAGATAACCAGTGTTAACATGAGGGTGTATTTCTCCTCCTTAAAGCTGGTTGAGATCATACTGTTTGGCATTCTTCCTTCTTTTTTTAAAATTACTCAACTGTTAGTATAATTTCTTTGTTATTAAGAAGTCTGTGTAAGATTTTTTTGGATGAAAAAACTTCATATAGTTGTGATCTAACATTTTTCTAATGTTGGCTTACCATGGCTGATAATTTAGGAGTACTGAAGAATCAGACTACTTCTGATCTAACTGTTGGTCTAGTATGTGTGTACATGATATAATGATCCAGGTCATAATTTATCTTTGGAGCTAATCGCTAGTCAAATGAATTTCTAGTTATCTTGTTAACTCCATTCTGTTTCCTTTTCTTACATTAATCTGGTTCTTGATGAATTATTATAGTAGCATCACTTTTTTTTTTCTTTCTGAAACATTCCCTGACTGAGACTTATTGCTGCTCTTTAGGATAAAGATGGTGATAGAGCGGTTCACCATGCCGCTTTTGGAGATGAAGGAGCTGTTATAGAAGTGCTGCACCGAGGCAGCGCTGATCTGAACGCCAGAAACAAGCGCAGGCAGACGCCGCTTCATATTGCTGTCAATAAAGGTCACCTTCAGGTGGTGAAGACGTTACTGGACTTTGGCTGTCATCCCAGTCTTCAGGTAAAACTATTAAAGAATTAAATTGTGCAGGTATTTCCAGGATTCTTTTAAAATGGCAATACTAGTTTCTGTGGCAAGCATTCCTTTGTTATCAGTCCTTTCTGTATGATCATAGTGAATGATTCCAAAGGTATAGAATGCCATAATATTGGCAGCTGTTCCTTCTTAGAAAAGCCTTTGTTAAGAAAGTGTCAGTAAATTGATTTTGTATGGGGGAGTCGGTGATGGGGACTTGTAAAAATATCAGCTAGGCGTGATTTAACTTTATTGACCATGACAGTGAGCTTTAGCAGTCCACAGTAGTTACTTCAGAGGAGTCTAAATTATTTTAATTGTAGCTTAGTTTATCTTAGATTGTTGGTGTAGTCCTTAATCTAGTCTTGGAAGATTTTCTGATTTAGAAAATATATATGGAGTTTTAGGATTGATTTTATCATAGATGTGGAATTTTAGGGTGTAACCGTTAATGGTAGGAGTGTGGTATAGCGGCCCATTGTAAGCTGGGGGGGGAGTCAGCTTTTCTGTCTCATTAAAATTTTGATTGTATTTGAGGATACTTCCTTGCTTTTATTTTCTTTGGAAAACTATAGCATGTTTATTGTATTGTCCATCTAGATTGACTAGAAATTTCTTTACTATAGTGAGGCTAGTATTTCTTGCCTGCATTTTGAAATTTAATACACAGCATGTTTTATTACTACTGGTTGTTGGATATGGCTTCTGTTTTTCTTTGCTTAGTAGATCATTATAAGAATTAACTTTACATATAATAATTAATTGAAGAAGAGCTAATGAAAATCTCTTAAAACTTTGAAAAAAAAAAAGGATTCTGAAGGCGATACTCCTCTTCATGATGCAATAAGTAAGAAACGTGATGACATCCTGGCAGTTCTTCTAGAAGCTGGAGCAGATGTTACCATTACGAACAACAATGGGTTTAATGCTCTACACCATGCTGCACTGAGAGGAAACCCCAGGTAAAGATGTCATCTTGTACTATTTCCTATGCAGTTAAAAATAGGTTTCTGTTTCGGGCTCCCTTTTTCTGATACTTATAAGGAAGTGATTTTGGCTTATTTTAATATTTTAAATTGTTTTAAAATCTGAGGAAATTATGTCTTAAATAGATTAGTTTTATATATATATATTTTTAACTAATACAAGTATCATGAAATGACTATTTAGATTTATGTTAAATACGTGTATAAAATATCAGGAATACTTGTATTCTAAAGGTTTAATTAAAATCATTCCACCTGGAGATTTATGTGTCTTCAAGATCATTCTCAAGTGTTCTCTTACCAAAACCTCATGTTATCTGTTTTTTTTTTTATTCCAAGTTGTCTATTTGCACAGTAATTATTTTTTTTAAACTTCTGACTAAAAAACTTTTAAGTTACCTAATTTTTTATTAATAATATAATTAACTATAAACTTCTAGTACAGATGTCTTCTAACCATTGTTAGGGTGATAGGTGGTCTACTGAAAAAAGTTCTTGTTGGTGAAGTTTGAGAAAGACTTTTGGGAAGTCATAAAATTCATAAAGGATCTGCCGAGGCTCACAGAAAAGAAAATTGCTTAGCTTTGCTTAACGAAGAACTTTCTGTGAATGAATTTTTTGGAATAACTTTACCTTGAGAAGCATTTTGGAAAATTCTGGGGAATTCCCCAGGGATCTAGTGGTTAGTACTCTCTGCTCTAACTGCTAAGAGCCTGGGTTCAGCTCCTGGTTGGGGAACTACCTCGTGGTGAGGCCCCAAAATAATAATTATAGTAATAGTAATAATAATAATAAAAATAAACTCTTTAAAAAAAAGAAAATTCTTCATTAAATGTCTTGTGTTTATAGTTGAATCAAGCCACGTGTATTGACTGAGGAAGATATTTACTTGGAAGTTTATTTTGATAATTTAAAAATTAAAAAAAATTTGGGATGTAATTGACATATGATACTATATTAATGTCCCTTGTGGCTTCCCTCGTGGCTCAGCTAGTGAAGAATGCGCCTGCAGTGTGGGAGACCTGGGTCCGATCCCTGGGTTGGGAAGATCCCCTGTAGAAGGGAACGGCTACCCACTCCAGTATTCTGGCCTAGAGAATTCCATGGACTGTACTGTAGTCCATGGGGTCGCAAAGAGTCAGACATGACTAAGTGACCTTCATTCATTTCACTTCACTTTATTATATTTATATCATGTATTAAAAATAGTGATTTGATATTTGTATATATTGTGAAGTGATCGCCACAGTATGTCTAGTTAACATCCATCACCATGCATAGTTCTGAATTTTTTTCTTATGATAAGAACTTCTATCTGTTCGCTCAGCAGCTTTCAAATATACAATGCAATATTATTAATTGTAGACATCATAATTTCTTATTCTTTTGGTTCCATATTGCATTTTTACATCATGTTTCCTTTTACAATAATTTTTTGCTGTTTTTTTAGCTTCTTAAGATCACCACTAGAGGGTGAGCACAGAGAACAAAAGGAGTTTATTGAAGTTGACTATTGGTACTGTAACAATAGATATATAATCTAGGATGAAATAAATGGCCATATTTTAGGTTATGTCTTGATTAATTTTTCAAATTTTAAATAATTGAACACTTCAAATATTTAATGTTGGTATTGTAAAGGAGAGGAAATAGTATTACATGTTCCCTGCCTTTCAAATAAAAGGTGGTGATGATAGATTTACCACATGCAAGTAGTTGACATGCATTATCTCATTTAATCCCTTGAACAGCTTTTTGAAGCAGGAAGCAGGTGTTAATATCCTCGTTTTATAGATGAAGAGTATGAAGCTTATAAAGAAATGAAGTCTATCAATACTTGTATTCAAGGTCATGCAGCTGCCCAGTGAAACAGCTGGAACTTGAGCAAGGTCTATTTGAATTTAGAATCGTTTGATCTTAGCTGCCTTATATTATTTCCTCTGTATTATGGGCTGTATGTGAGGTAAGGCTAGAACACATGGACAGTGAATGATTTAACCAAGAGTATACCAATACACCAAGCTGATTTCTGTGTCATGAGCCTATCTTTTAAGTTTTATCTCCCACTAATTAAAATCTCTCTGCCCACCTTGACCTTCAGCTATACTGTACTACTCTCCCTAAAAGTTTCTGCTCTTTTCCTTCACTGATTTAACACTTTCTTTCTTTAAGATGCCCTTAACTGACTTTCTCCCTGAGGTCTTAGATTTCATCTTTGAAATGATTTTCTGTTTGCCCTATACTTCCTTGTTGTGTGTTCCTGTTTTCTGCAGTTACCTTCTTTGTGCTGTCCCTTAGTATGTGCATTTTTATGTTTCTTTCTGTTAAAATTTTGGGCACAAATATTTGTGTATCTCCCATAATGCCTTGACTGTAGGTGAGGACTCAATACATGTTAGTCTTAATTTGACAGGACAGTGTTAGATATCACAAGAGTATATAATCGATTAAAATAAAAATTCTATAGAGAAATTGTCAGGAGTTCATACAGAGCAAGTATTTCAAGTTAGAATTGGCAAAAAGATTTTCTTGAGGGAATTTAATTTAGGTTATATAATATTTTTAAGTTATAAAGTTTAAGGTAGATTAAAAACTAAAGTGTTTAGGAGATGAGTAACTTTTAAATATTTTGAATTGTTTAACTTTATTGAGCACACTGAGAGCAGGCTAGTATATTTAATAATGTTAAACAAAGGAGGGGGAAAAAATACTACTTCTGTTTCTTTAATTCTTGAGAATTCCTCTGGAAACTTGTAACAGTGAATCCTCCAACCAGATAATTGATGTCAGGTGACATAAAAAAAGAGAAAAAAATAAACACTTTGATTCTACAACAAAGTGGTGCTTTAGTTAAAGGTATATGATTTCTTTATTCCTATTTGCTTAAGACATTTTATGCAGTTGTGACTGTAGATTGCCAGATAAAGGATGATTTTAATTGAACATGAAAGAATATGAAAAGATGATGCTAGTTATTTATTTGTTGTAATTGTAAGCTGGGTTGAGTTTTTTTTTTTTTAATATCAGATTTCTTATTCTTAAAATTGACTTTTCTTTCCTGGTACTAACCAGTGATGTCGTAAGACAGAAGGAACCATTTAAACTCAGAATTAAGGAAAAAAGGTCTTCTCATTTTACAATTGAGGAAACAGGTTTGGAGAGTTGAAATATCTATATAAGTAAAAGGTAGCAATGCTTAGAATTGTGCCCCTCTTTTGAGGATTAAAGTTTTTTGGTCAGTATCAGGAGAATTACATGCTTATTATTTAACTGTCCGCCAGATGCTCTGCAGTGACATTGCCTCCTCTTCCACCTTACCTATCGATGTTCTGATAAATAGCGCTCAGTTAGTTGCTAATCACATGAAAGGTAGTGGCTCAGCATTTCTGGAGTTTTGTTTTGTATAATGTTATGAAGTGAAGTGAAGTGAAAGTCACTCAGTTGTGTTCGACTCTTTGTGACCCCATGGACTATACAGTCCATGGAATTCTCCAGGCCAGAATGCTGGAGTGGATAGCTTTTCCCCTTCTCTGGGGGATCTTCCCAACCCATTCGATCCCAGGTCTCCCTCATTGCAGGCGGATTCTTCACCAGCTGAGCCACCAGGAAAACCCATTTAATGTTATACTTTTCTTTAATTTAAAATAGTGCATGTCCACACTGTGGCATTCCTGTTACGGTTTCAGGTGACCTTCTCAGATATTTTCTTCCTTTGAAAGAAGTTTTTTTTTTTTTAAATTTTGTGGCACAGTCTGCATTTCAATATCATTTCTTTTCTGAAGGACAAGAAATTTAATACAGAGACCATAAATGAATAAAATAATTTTATTTGAAAGCCTTACATCATTCACACAGTTTTTCATAAAACTGTTTATTAACATCATATACTACTATAGCTCTTTCAAGTAGAATTAACAGTTACAAATTATTTGATTTAAACCATAATTTGAATAAATAAGTTGAAATTAGTTGACATGTGATTGATAATGATAAATGAAAATGCTGGCTGTCCTGTAGTAATCAATGCATAGCTACAGCTGGTTGAAGGGGACCAAATCCATTGAAGAGGCGATTTGGTTCCATTTTACCAGCTCTAGCAAAGCATTGCCATGCTGCTAGCTGGGGACCTAAAACAGTTAAATTTTTTTTATTTTGAATTTTAAATTATAATTATGATCCTTCCTCAAATGTTAAGAGAATCTCACATCAGTATTTCAGCCATGAATTGTAAAACTTTATTTTCTGAATGCACTTCTCCCGCTGTTTCCCACTCTAGTCATGCAGAAGTCTTTACCCTTTAGCACGTTGTTAGTGCATTAAGGAGTTATTAATGTACACCTTTATTTTTTTTAACACCTTTGCTGAATTCTTAAATATAGACAGTGACCTGTTTCAAAACCAGCACCATTTAAAAAGAGCATATAGACCTTGATGTGTATCAGAATAATGTTTTCTATTTATCTTTCAGCAGTAAACCAAATAAGCAGGTGAAATAGGTTAGGGAGAAATACTGCTAGTCAGTCACACTTTTCTACCGCCACTTCTTTTTTTAGCATAATGCTTAAAGACTAACAGCAGGTTGCTGACAGGGAGGGAAGGATGAATGGCCTTAAGAAAAGTACCTCTGGTACCCTTTGGTTTATAAATAGATCACATGTGTATTCAGTGTATTGCTTAGACTTGTGTTGAAGGAACTGCCTCGCATGATAGCTTATTTTTCTTTTTGCTTATGTAGTGTTACTAACCATAGGTTAATAATTGAACTGTTTTAAAAGTCTAGTTCCTTGACTGAATTCTCTGTCATTTTGGGTACAGATTGCCTGGTTACTTCTCATTATCTGCTTAATAATACATTGTGGTTAGCAATAATCATGAATTTGAGTATGAAAATTACCGCTAAAACTCAGTACAGCAAGTTTTTGTTATAAGGGAATTTCAGTATTGAGAAGGGATGTCTTCTGAAAATACCTTTTTAA